GAAAATCGGTTCAGATTTAGATATAGCCCCCATATATAAATGATGCACCAAAGACCCTATATATTCTTCGAATTGCACGAAATTTGGGATAGCGTACTGAGTGGAATCTAGAATGATGTGTGCTATGTTTCATGAAAATTGAAATGATGTGTTCTAAGTGTCGTGAAAAATTGGTTGCGATTTAGATATAGCCCTTTATATATTTCATCCGATTTAATGTAAATGGTGCATCAAAGTCCAAATATATTTTTCGATTTGCACGAAATTTGGCATAGCGTATTGAATTGAGTCTAGAATGATGTGTGCTAAGTTTCGTGAAGATCCGTTCTGATTTAGATATAGCTCCCATATATATAAATGGTGCACCAAACTCCTAATGTTACTCCTAATGTCCGATTAACACGAAATTTAGCATAACGTATCATATTGAGACTCGAATGACATTATTGGGATTTGTTGAAATTGGTACAGATGCAGCCTTAGCTTCCATATGTATTTCGAACGGGTGTCTGATTGAAATTCAAATTTTAACAGTACGGCGTACCGAATAGCGTGTTTCACTTTTTCAAATTTTATCATAGGCGTGAATTTTTTAAAAAAAAATTTCAAATTTATTATTATAATTAATTTAAAAAAATTGTCTTTTCAGATGTCATCATCATTTCCAGTGATCTTGCAACAAATTCATCATTTCCAAAACCCCTACCCTGTTCTAAGACTACTATTGGTGGTGAAGTGAAAAGGGAAACATCGTCATCACCAGATTTATGGACAGCACAAAAGTCGTCGCATAGCAACCCTAAAAAATCATCAACATTATTTGGCGAATCTAAAAAATCAACCAATGGCGATAATCTAGATCGTCTATTTAAATTGCTCGATGCCGATTCCGATGAAGAATTATGATATCACAGAGAGTATTTTTTTCTCTCCTACCAAAGTTTATACTCAGATTTATTGTTTTATTTATTAATTAACTCGAATATTATGTATGCCATTTTTAATTGTGTTATTTTCTAAGATTATTGTATAGAAAACAATTATATTTTTTTCTTCTAAGAATAGTTTAAGATAAAAATATTTTATTATAGAAAAAAAGCTATTTTGTAGACTAGAAATAAGGATAGAATAGAATCTAAATAGTAACGTATTTGTGCCATTTAAAATAAAACACATACTAAAGTTGCAAACTTTAAATCTGTTGTTAAAAATCTGCAGAAATGACATTTTATATTTTAATTATAATATCAATCAATCTCTCTATAAATATATGATTTTTAATTAATGTATTTTTTTAATATATATAGATTTTTTTGCAAAATTAATTCTCCATTTTGTTGTTTATTTTCACCAGCATTTATTTATTGTTTAAATTTTTTTTTTCAAGTATAATTAATATTATGATGTAATCTATTTTTTTATTTTGTCGCTTTTATAATATTTTATACAACTTATTATTATATTGTAAATATTTATTTAATGATAGTCTCTACACATTAGTTTTAAGTAATTGTAAATATAAGAAAATATTTCACAAAAATTCAATGTTTAAAAAAATGTGTTTTATTCAGAAGCGCAATTTTTTAATACTATTCTTTAGGGGATAATACATACCAAGCAATGGCTCTGATTGACTTAACCATGGCGACGTCCAGGCTTATCTTGGTCCATCTTTAATCTCAGTTGTGGATACTGACCTCCCCGCGGTGTCACCTGGGGTAGCTATTTTTATCACCCGTTGAAATAGTGAGTTAATATATGTCGCGAGTTCACCCATAAGAACTATAAAAGAATGGGTTGAGGCGTCCAGTTAGTTGCCCACACTCGGAAAACCCCTCCTACTGTGAAAAAGCAAAGAAAAAGAAAACCAAAGCGTATAAAGGACCACGATCTGCTAATCTGCACTTGAAATGTGCGCACTTTGTACAGAACAGGCACAATTTTTTGCTTTGGCGGATGTACTCAAAAGTACAAAGCCGATATTATTGTATTGTATTATAGCTGCTATGAAACGAGACATGAATTTGGCTGCGGATTTCTGGTTAACAGGAGAATAAAATAACTCGTCTCCAGATTCACTCCAGTGGATGAGCGAATTGCTATAATCCATATAAAAGCGAAGTTCTTCTACCGAAGACTGGCTAGGTAATGTTGTGAGTATGGATAAAGATGCATCAGCCCAAAAGGCATATAAAAGCGAACCAGCCGATGGTTCACGCAGAAGGGGACGGCCACGAATTAGATGGAAAGTGGACTTGGAACAATATTTTTTCAGGGGTCCATCATCTGAGGCGTGGATTTATTAAAAAATATTTTTTCAGGGGTCCATCATCTGAGGCGTGGATTTATTAAAAAATATTTTTTTAGGGGTCCATCATCTGAGGCGTGGATTTATTAAAAAATATTTTTTTCAGGGGTCCATCATCTGAGGCGTGGATTTAATAAAAATTATTTTTTCAAGGGTCATAATTTTAAATTTATTATTTATGTTTTCTTTCCCAATAAAACACCATTTCTTTTTTAATTTTTTTTTAAATATATTTTTCTTTATTTTTTTATTCCATTTTTCGTTTTGCAATACATTTTGTATAATTATTTTTTGTTTTTGTTATATTATACACAATTCAATTGCAATTATATATATAAAAAAAAGAGAATTACAAAATAATAATTATTATATATATATAAAAAAATCATGAATACAATAATATAATATTCGGAGTTAAATATTAATTCCGACAATAAAAATTGCGACGAAAATGAGAACTGTTTTGGCAAATACAATAAAAATATAAAAAAAATCGTAACTCAATGCCAATGACATTTTCACATACACATAGGGAATTAAATTAACAATTTATTATTATTAATAACTATAATAATATACATAATTATGTAAGCTATTTTACAAAGATCAATAATTGTTTTTGTGCGATTTTAACTATTTTTTTATTTTATTTAAACAAAAAAATCTTTTGAAAAAAATTCTTTGCAATTACAAAAGAAATAATAATAACTTATTCACTATAAAAAACTTGATTTAAAGCTTAACTACATTTTTTATTATCAAAAAAGTCTAAAGCTATACAACAGTTTTTTATTATATATAAAAATATTTTTTTAAGATTCTGAAAGAAATTTTTGATATTTTTTTTAGATATGTTGATTTTTTGATGATAAGAATAAGAGGGGAGGGAATGTTATCAATTTTTTGTTTAATAAGAAACTGATGTATTTTTTTAATTATAATTATGGTAAAAAATTGTTATATATTTACATTTTATTTTTTTTTATTAAAATTTAACATTTAGTATTAATTATAAAAAATAAAATTAAAATTAAAATAATAATACGAAGTCACTTTACGTTTTTTTTTTAATTATTATATATATGACTAACTGACTTCATATATATGTATATGCATGTGTGTATGTAGTTTTTAAATAGGGGTTTTTTATGACACATTGCCCAATTGCTTTTTTGAACGGATTTGGCTAAGGCACCTAATTTGAACAATGGAAACTTTTTTTAATAAAAATAATAACAAAAGAAATTTATGGAAAATTAAATAAAAATTTAGGCAGTTAGTTTTAAATACTCATTTTTTTGGGTGTATATATTTTGCACACATAGAAAAAATAATATAAAATATATAGTTTTCCTGTTTTTCAACAACAACAATTCAATTGGGATTTCAATTTGGCGTATAAGTAACGTCAGGGCAAATATAACGCATACGCAATAATGATTTGAGGGTATTTCGAATGAACGGGGATTTAAAATAAATCTTGTAATATATTTTTTTAAATAAAGAAATATATTTTTTTTTATATTTTTTTTAAAAATATATTTTTTTATAAAAAAAATTATATAAAAAATGCAATATTTTTTTAATAAAAAAAATGTTATATAAATTTTTTTTTAAATTTTTTAAAAAAAAAAAAAAAAAAAAAAAAAAAAACTTTTTTTAATTAAAATATTTTAAAGAAAAAAAAACTAAAAATTAAAAAATAATTTTCATAAAAATTTCATTTTCAAAAAAATATATATATTTTTTAATTGGAAAAAAAAAATATTTTTAAAAACAATTTTTTTTATTTAAAAAAATTAATTTAATTAAAAATATTTTTTTTTTTAAATTGGAAAAAAAAAAAATTAATTTTTTTAAATAAAAAAAAAATCGAAAAAATTTTTTTTAAAAAAAATTTTTTAATATTTTTTAGAAAAAATGTTTAAAAAAATATTTTTTACTAAAATCTTAAATTTTTTTTAATCTTTTTTAAAAAATAATTTTTTTAATAAAAAAAATTTTTTAATAAAAATTAAAAAAATATTTTTTAATACAAAATATTTTTTTTTTAAAAAAAAATAACAAAAAAAATATATATTTTTTAATTTTTCAGTATATATTCAAAATTTTTTTTTAGATATTTTCCAAATAACCCAAATATTATTTGACGTATGAACTATTTTTTTACCACAAATATTACTTATACGTGTAAAAAAAAAGGAAAACCCCAATGAATTGTTGCCGGCAATTTCATTTTCAAAATTTAATATCTTCTAATATCACATATGTATATTTTCTATGTGTGCATTCGGAAAAATTAAAAAAAAAACAAATCCATTAAATTGAAAATTGATGATCTCTTTTTCCGCTTTACATTCACAAAATTGCCAATATTGATTTTTTTCTATAAATTTTAAAAAATTTCAAAATTAAAACAAAATATTTCTTTTAAAATAAAATTTAAAATTTTATTTTAAACAGTTTGTTGTTGTTGATTTAGTTTTGGTTCGTATTGAGTTATTTACAGCTTACATAACATTTTGTTTTTTTATTTTCTTGATTTTCCATTTGGTTTCAGTTTCCTTTCGCTCGTTGATGCAGCACTCGTTATAATTTTTTATTTTCTCTCTTTTTAATGTTTCCTCTATGTGTGTGTGTGTGCATGGATTTGCTTACATAACACATTCAGTATACCAACAACAATAATATAATAATATTGAACCAAATCGGCTTTTAGCTAACAATGAATTTCGTTATGATGAACATGGCAAGCGTTGCCAAAATCGGTGCACCAATGTTTATCGATTCCGCTGAATTGGACGACATAACAGAACGATCGGCTTCGGAGGCTTCATCGTGAGCTTGATGATCATCAACACCTGCAGGGGGGCAATTGGAAGAGACGGCAAGAACAAAAAAGAAGAAAAACTCATATAAGTAAATTATTTTCAAATTTGAAAAAAAATTCTGTGTTTTGAGTGATGTGTGCTGTGTGTGCCCTGTGGCAGACAATAAAAAAACTAAATATTTATGATTGAAATTGTGTGTGAAATTTTGTTGAGCATAATAAAAAATACACGTGAACGTAAACAAATGTAAAAAAAATAAATAAGTATATATATGTAGCATATAAATAGTATAATTATGATCCAGCTGATTGTTTATCACACAATAGTCAATAAAACATAGGGGGGCTTGTAATTAAAATGCTAAAACAATTAAAACTACAATTTAAAAACCCATTAATTTTTTTCATTCAAATAAATCTACAAGCGAAACAAAATAAATATGAAAACATTATTTTGTAATATATTTCATAAGAATTAAAGAGAATTTTTTTATTTTGAAATGAACTAGGTGAAATATTTAATGTACTATTTTATTTGTTTTGTAATTTGTCCTGATTTTAAATTCATAAAAGACTATAGTAAAATATGTAATGTATTGTAAAAATAATAATTAGAAGAGATATAATAATAAATTATAAAAATAAAAAAGTAAATAGCAGGAGATTTTTAAATCTTACACATTAAAAAATATTCCAAGCTAATAAAAATTAATATAATTTTTTAGAAACATTTTTTTGAAATTTTTTAGATTCTAGTAGAGGGCTTTTGAAAATAATTGTAAACAATTAATGTTTAATTTTGTAATAATATTTAACATTTTTCAAATTAGTTTAAGATCAAAATTTGTTTTATAAAATATATTTCATATATAATAAATATACATTTTATTAAAAACAATAATAATAATAAATAAACTTTTTTTAATATGATATTGAATCTAAATTCATAAAGTAAATATTATTAAAATAGATAAATAAAATAGCTTTTTACAATTTTAATCAAATACATACATATATAGTTTCAAAATATTTTTCTTTAAATAATGTTTTTTTGTGTAAAAATATTTTTTTTTTCAAAATATTTAGGTGTTTCAAAAAATGGATGAGAAATTTTACTTTTAGGAAATAGTAGAAATAACAAAATATTTTTTCTAAATTTGATATAAAAAATATTAAAAATTATTAATTTTTTTTTATCTTTTAAAAATCACTCCTGTGGAGTCTGTCAAAATTTTGAACACTTTTAAATCCAATATTAAGCGAATGAATTGTCCGATTTGATTCAAACTTTGCACATGGTAAAAATTTTCACCAAACCTAAATTAAGCCTAAAGGAGGGGTCCATCGGTTCACTCCTTCAAGTATTTCCCACACAAAGGGTGCAAATATTGAAAATTTCCAAACATAGGGTGGTATATTTCATCCACAATGTCCACATCGTAATATTTTTACAATATCTTCATTAAAGGATTTTTCGAAAATAAGTATTCCAAAAAGTACTAAAATGTACTAAAGTTGGTACAATTTGATATCATGCGAACGAATAGTGTTAAGAACTTCAAAATTTAAATGTGAATCTTACTTGAGAAGTAGGTTCGATATAATGTGGTAGTTTTGAAAGTGTGTACTCATGTATACGAAAAGTACTAAATGGTACTAAATTTGATAAAATTTTAATTTGGAGAAATGGATGGATCTGGAATCCATTAGGATTGATTGTGTAGGTAGTTTTGGGAATTTGTATTTATTTGTACGAAAAGTACTGTATGGTACTATATTTCGTACAATTTCTATTTGCGAACCGGCAGAGTTGGAACTTTTAAATTTTTAATTAATGTCAATTATGGAGTGTAGGGTAGTTGTACCGAAGGATTTTTCGGGAATTCGAACTTTGCTTATTCCAAAAGTACTAAAATTGGTACAATTTCGTAGTGATATACAGAGGTACTAAACAGTACTAAATTTTGGTACAAATTGAATTTGGAGGAACGCATGGAATTTTGAAATTAACATTATCGTCGGAGCGTAGAATTGGGATATGTAGGTAGTTTTGGGAATTTATACCTATGTGTACGAAAAGTACTAAATGGTACTATAATAATTGGTACAATTGGGATTTGGAGGAACGGAAGGAGCTAGAACTCTGAAATTAAAAAAAAAAATACTACTGCATTGTAGAATTAAGGTATGTGGGTAGTTTTGAAAATTCGTACTTATGTGCACTGAATGACACTAAACAAGATAAAATTTTGGGTAAAATATAAAGCTGGAATCCTGAAATGGGAGTTTTGGAATCCTGAAATTTGTTGGCGTGTAGAATTTGGGAATGTTGGAAGTTTTGGAAAGTCGTACTTAATTGTAGGTACTATATGGTACTAAATATGGTACAATTTGAATTTTCGGTGAACCGATATGGCTGAAGTCTTGAAATTGGGAAATAGGATTTATATTGGATTGTATGATGTAGATAGTTTTAGAAATTAGTACTAAATTAAGTAAAATTTCAAATTTGGGTTAAAGATGGAGATGAAATTCCTAAATATGGAGTTAGGATCACTGTTGGCGTGTAGAATTAGGGTATGTAGGAAGTTTTGGAAACTCGTACTTATGCGTACTAAATAATGCACAATTTGAATTTTCGGTGAACCGATCGGGCTGGAATCCTAAAATAAGGAAATACGATTTCTTTTGGATACTATGATGTATATAGCAATTCGTACTTATGTGTACTAAACGGTCCTAAAATTGCAATTTGAATTGAAGTGATCCGACAGAGCTAAAATAGTGAAATTTGGAAAGTAGATTACTACTGCATTGTAATTATTCTAAAATATTCAATATAAAAAATCTTTTATTCATAGACATCCTAAGATACACTCTTTGAGTTAAGAACTCAGAGGTCCTCAAGTTAAAATGTTGGGCTAAACTTGTCGAAAGATGAGGACCATTTCAATTCGTGAAGGTAATATAGAACTATTCAACTATCATTAACTGAGGGTCACTCCCTACAAGTTTTCCGGTGTACGAATGAGGATAAATGTGGATAAAACAGATTTTAATAATTTAGTTAAGTTATATTTGTGTAAATTATATACAAAATTCGTACTTATGTGTACTAAACGGTCCTAAAATTGCAATTTGAATTGAAGTGATCCGACAGAGCTAAAATAGTGAAATTTGGAAAGTAGATTACTACTGCATTGTAGAATTGAGGTATGTAGGTAATTTTGAAAATTCGTACTTATTTATACTACATGGTACTAAATTTGGTACAATGCTGAAATTGGGAAAGAATACATCTATTGGATCGTTGAGGTAGTTAGTTATGGAAATTTATATTAATATGTACAAAATTGTTCTTAGTTTTGGAAATAAGTACTACAAGAGTACAAAAGGGGGTGGTTAGGTCAGCAGTAGCAAACAGTTAGTGGGTTTTGTCTATGATCCCAAGATCGACGAGGCGAGATTGGCGTCCCAGAATAACCAATTACTAGGTCTTAGATCGCCTTCCTCCCAAAGATACCTCCCTAATGCTTGGGTGTTAGACGAGCTTGTGTCCATAAGTGCTACACGGTTTTCAATCAGAGTTCCGACTGTATTTTTGAACGAAGGTTGTTCATACATGGAAACCTCAGCCTAAAACCTAAAGTTGCCAAGTCCCTACCATGATATGAGGCATTGCTATGGTAGACCTCACATGTCCGCTAATTCTGCCAATAATTAATGATTCTATCAAAAGGAACTAGGCGAACGAGAGCAAAAAACGACTGAATCTAGATGATCAGAAAACCGGATCTGGTACCGAAAAATATTTTTCTTTTGAATTATTCTAAAATATTCAATATAAAAAATCTTTTATTCATAGACATCCTAAGATACACTCTTTGAGTTAAGAACTCAGAGGTCCTCAAGTTAAAATGTTGGGCTAAACTTGTCGAAAGATGAGGACCATTTCAATTCGTGAAGGTAATATAGAACTATTCAACTATCATTAACTGAGGGTCACTCCCTACAAGTTTTCCGGTGTACGAATGAGGATAAATGTGGATAAAACAGATTTTAATAATTTAGTTAAGTTATATTTGTGTAAATTATATACAAAATTATTTAAAAAAATGTAATGAAATTTTACAATTATGTGATAAACAACCGCTGTTATTTAAATATGTGCACTTAATAAATAAATTATTTAAAAATATAATAAATAATATAATAATGTATAAAATAATAAATATACACATTTTTACACTAAACCGAACATAATAAAATCAAGAAAAAAAAAATTAAAAAAATATTGAAAATAAATTTTAGAACAAAATAATAATAAAACGTACTTTTCTTTAAATGTGTTTTGCTGTTCTTGGTTGATTGGTTGGTAGGTAGGTTGGCAGTTTGCGTGGTTCGGTGGTATGGCAAATATATTTTCGGATAAAATTAAGGCAACCTTTTTGAGACAGCATTTTTCACCAAACCGATGATGGCAGAGAAATGAGAAATATAGAATTTATGCTTTACAGCATAAGCAGCATAATGTAGGCAAAGCGAAAGAGAGAGCGGGCGGACGGTCGACACACACGCATGTACAGGACGCAATGGACAAATGACAAATACGGGCTTTGATGATGACAATTGATGAGATTGGGTTTTATTTTATTTGATTTGATTTTTTTATAATTTACATTTTTGCGTCGAATTCGTTATCGTTTGGTTGAATTGTTTGTTGTTGTTTTTTTGTTTAATGAACAGCAAGGTTTTTTTTTTGAGTTATTCGTTTGTTAATATTAAAATATTATTTACACAAACTGGACTGGGCACTAATTGCAGGAATATCACGCTATTTCCATTTCATATATATATATTATACATAATAACTGGACTTTTTTTTCTCATTTTCAAATATATCGTTCGAATTGAATTTGTTTGCGGTGGCGACGGCGGGTCATCTACATTTTAGAACCATGAACGAGCTATATTCCACATCCAACCGGGTAAATATCTTCGTTCCTTATTTACATCTTTAGTGACATCTTT